TCTTTGGATAAGTAATTATTTTTTTGAAGCTGACCTGCTCAGCATCAGTGGCTGTGCAATAATCATCCTGGGCAATATGCGTTTTGGTTGGTTTTGGTGGGAGTGAATGTAGAAATAAATTGTTATGTTTATAATTATTTTCACAGTATTTACTTAAGAAATTGTTTGTGACGAGGTTTGAAGTATTGTTTTCAATAGATCAGAACTAATTTAGTTACTGCAAAATTATATCCAAATAATGTTCCTCTTACTATTTTTATTGATTGTGATTGATTTTTCTTTTGTTTTTGAACAAACTTAGGCCGGATTTTTTTCTATAAAAATAACAAATAATATTTTGCTTTCAGTACTTTACAAAGGCTTGCATTGAATATTACAGTAAAAGTGCAAAAGTACGTACCTCTGAACACTCGCAAAATGTTACCTCACTTATGAACTATTGTAATTATATATATATATATATACACAGACATATATATAGCTAACACACTACTACTCCATTCAAGAGATATTAGCAACATTAATTTCAATATACTTCCTTGAAAAATAAAACCAATTGCAACTAATAACGCAGTGTGGCATTTCAGCTGGACATAATCATATTTACAAATTTTTTATAGATATTATGAGCAAAGGGCTATGGAAAAAATAATAAAATACTGAATATATAAAAATAACTTGAGAAACAGCAAGTACTTCCTATCACTGGTTCTTTTTAACATCCTTTTTGTAGGTCTATCCCTAAAAATACTTATTTTTGTGTATTCTTGCAATTAATATCATTGTGAAGCTAATATTGTGAACGTTTATAGGATCAGGCCCCTGCAGAGTATTTTGAATTCTGCACAGTAGAGCCAAAACTTGAGTTTTCTTGTATTTATTTTGATACATTAATTTTAAAAATATTGATTATTTGGATTGTCTCCAAAAGACTGTGTTTAGCAACCGTCTAACATAATGAATTCTCAGATCTAGGTCTCCTTGAGCTCTGAATGCCTTGTTAGCATTGTGACACATGATTTATGTTGCGTTTCTTAACGTGTTGGTCATCTTCCTTAGATTCACACGCTGTAACCATAATCCGTTTAGGAATATAACTGCAGCATGTTTATCATAAATCACGTGATGCTTTTCCATGGGAATATGCTTCATTAGGCTCACCTGCTGTAATACTACTGTATCGTTAGATGGCATGTAGGAAGGAAATCATTTCAGCAGTAATCTGTCAGGCATGCGGAGCCCCCGTGTGTTTGATACGTAAATGTGTTAAAGGCTAAACCATGTGTCACTATACTGCGTAAAAAGTATTTTCAAGGCTTTACAGTTGCAGGATTCCCTAATACTTTAGGTGGTACTTTTAGATTTTAGCAATCTTCATTTTCCTTCAAAGACTGCATTACTTTTTAATAGTTCCCATAGAAACTTAGTTCAAGAAATGAAGACTGAAGACAGTGTGTAAAACAATTACACACTGAAGCTTTTCACATGGAAGTGACACACGTACCAGTGGTGTCAGTTTAAAAACAAACAAACAAAAACCCACCATTCACTGGAAGAAAGTAGTTTGGTATTGGTGCACCTGTTTTAAAATTAGTTAATGTGCTTATTCCTCTGTGGTGTACTTTTCTTTGTAAAGTGGAAAATTCAGAAGAAAAATGCCTTTTTTTGGGAGAAAATAATGTAAGGGTTAGATGGTAAATAACTAAATTTAGAATTTCTAATGCAATGTAACATAAGTCATAGTGGGATGACATCTCTTTTGTACTATTCAGTACTGTGTTGTTCCTTGAAAATCTGAAGTAAATGAGATACAAATTCGGACTTGCACAAACTTCAATACCCACGGCAACCACAGTAATTTATTTAATGATTGTCACTGCAAATATAGTGGAAAGAACAAAGATTAGAGAGGTGCCTTCCTCAGATTTCCAGGTATGCGTATTAGAAAGTCATGGTGGGGATCTGTGCCTGAACCATAGCATCAACCTGTTCTTCCCTGTTGCAGTTCCTAACACAAGTGAGCTTTGGCTTCGCTGCCAGAGCGCTTGCTACTGAACGTAAGCCTGGTCCTGGTGTTGCTCCAGAGACCTTGTTCCTCCAGTGTGCGTTACGTGGCATGAAGCTCCTGAAGCATCCATCCCCTGAAACAAGAGGATGATGTCCCCAAATAGGTTGTGCAGAGCAAAGCCCTGTACTAATGGTTCAAAGCTGAGAGTCAGGGAGAAATTACTACTTAGGGAGAGTGGTGAAAATGAATGTATAAATGTATACAGTGTTTTCTCAAAATAGGTAATTCTATAGACTGAAATAGGAATTTCCTGTTTGCTTTTTCTCTCTCTCTTTTTTTTAAGTTGGATACAGAAATTTGGACTATTGCTTTGATCATCTGATCATCATTACTTTATGCTAGTGTGAACATAAACTCTTCAAAGAACTCGGAGTGACTTTGTGAATGATGCAGCTTGTTCTATGGCAGTATGTTCCTTGCCAGTGCTCCCCCCCCCCAATATTTATTGCTAATGAGATAATTAATTAGTTTAAACTCTTTTTCATTACTTGAATAAAGAATTGCAGTCTCTGAAGAACAGCACTGAGTACCACATGTAACATCTGCCAGTGTTGCTTGTCCTCTGATTAAATGACCATATGTGCTGCAATGTCTAGAAACAACAGGACAGAGTTAATGGTGGGTTTTTTTGTGTGCCTTAACTCTGAATGACCTTGCTGTGGATGTGATTTTTTTTTTTTTTGGTAAGCCCAAAAGACAGTAGTGGTGACTGCTGCTTGTCCTGTTGTTAATGTAATTCTGAGGTTGGTATCCAGAACGGGCAGAGATGAAAATTGGACTTAAATAACAGAACTGTAAGCAAACCCGAAATATTTTGTTGATTGCAAACGTTTTTTTAAAGAGGGCTATTAATGTGCTTTAGTACATCTCTGTTTAGAGATAGAAGATGGGTTAATTGGAATTCCTAAAACTTCAGTATAACACCCTGAGTTGGTTTTCTCAGACCTAGCACTTAGTATTTCTTCATTTTCAAGGCACTGTATGGTAATTAATCCTCACAGCCCCTCCTGAAGAGCAAGAGATAGGAGGTACGCACTGGAAGTACTATTATTCTAATTTTACAGGTGGGAAAAATGAGAAGATGAATAATTTTGTCAAGGCCACACAGTAAGCAAGTGTGAGCTCAGAGATTTGTTTTGGCTATTAGCCCAGTCTTCAAACCAGCCCTTGCGCTGTTTGGCTTTTTAAATTATACACATCTGCATTACAAAGCCTTTTTAAATAAAGGGATTACCCTGTTTGTAAAGATAGACCTGTCTTTACCCTACAGGTAATAAGGTAAACATGTCTACAATAAAATCTTCAGCAAAAATGGGACAACTTTATGAAATCAGACTCTAATTCTGATGTTATTTTCCATTTTCATAGAATAAAACTAAACTTTGTCCTGTTTTTTATGGGCATAAATTCTTTGACTCGTTTTATGTAAAAAGGAATGATTAATAGAAATCAGTTGCTCTATTGCAGATCAGTTTACTAGTCACCTTTTTGATTGCAGAGCAGTGATAAATACTGAAAGATATTTTATTGAACTTTTCATTATTTTTCAGAAATAGTATACATAGTGTGAAAATATATTCTATAGAATTAGAGAAGTCCTCTGAGCAGTATCCCAAGATTTTTTCCACTAGAGTATGACCAAGTTCTTACTGTATGCTTTACCAGATATAGGCAAATGCTTTTTTAGAAATGGCTGTTTGTCTTATGATTTTATAATTTCAGTTCTATAGATCAGCATGGAAATAACAAATCATTTGGTTAGCAACAAGCAATGCTCTTGCCTAGCAAAAGATGTCAGTTTTCCATAGCTATCAGAAATAGTTTTTTCTGTTTTCCCAAATGGACTGAGTGCTACTGTCTCTTGCTGAGGATGTTCAGATTTTGTTTCAGTTCTAGCCAATCTTTACCTTAAAAATAACTTAATCAACAATATTGTTATTCTTAAACAAATTCAGAATTTCACAAGAAAGTCGTCATAATTTTGTCCAAATGGTAAAAGAGTTGTGATTAAAACACTGAAGACCCACAAACTTTAGCACAATGTCTAATATTTTAATAGATGCAAATAAAGCAGACCTAAATAAAACATCCCCTAAACGGGCTATTGAATTTAACTTGTTCTCCCGCTGCCTACCTGCCTTCCCCATAAGGCTGTGGTTTTTGCTTGTGTGAAATAGCTCTTATCTACAAATGAAACCAAAGGACTTCCCTGAATGCACGTAGTGCAAACACTATCGGGGATACAGCAAGGGGAAAAAAGAGATGCACAATGGCTTTAGCATCTTCTCTCAGTGTATGGAGAACAGCATCCTGAAAGTCATAAATACTGTCCCACGGACACGTTGAATAATGTAGGTATAGCGTAAGTAATTGGGAGTGCTTACATCCTGCCTTTAGACATTTCATTGCTCGTGAGTTGAAATTGGTTGTCAGTGTGGGCTCCGAGGACTGTGCAAGGTGCCCTACTCTGTCATGTGGCACGTATTTAATGCTTGAAGGAGCAGCGCAGGGACGCGCGGGACCAGCGGCGCCGGCCGGAGCCGGGGCCGGGGGGGACGGCAGGGAGCAAAGTGCACGCGCCGCCCTTACCCTGGCGAAGCTGACCTTGACGTCCTGCCTCCCCCCGGCCTGCGCGCGGCGGGGCGCTGGGGCGGGGC